TTTTAGGTAGGCGTGGTTGACTCAACTTTTATAAAGAATATCTCTTTGGATTTGAGACTTTAGTCTTTGCAACTTTACAGATCTTCTTTATGCACCAAGAGCTTGTAACACTCCAAAGAGAAAGGAAAAATTGAAATCGCATCATATGACCCCTTTAAAGGATAACGCAAGACTTCTTCACCTTACAAATGGTTGTCGAAAGCAAAAATGCTATGAAAAGCATATTTTATGAGAAAGTGTGACATGCTAGAGCAAAACATGCGCTATTTTTGAAATCAGCATCCCAAAATTAGTAAGAAACAAGTAGCTTTGGGTTTCATTCAGCAAATATAATACAGGGTGGTGTTACAGTGAAATAGTGAAACAATTAACTATTGTGATATTGTCTTTTGTTTGACCTAAGCTGTATAAGATGCACTTTTCTTTTGGTCCTCTATATAAAATCAGTAGTTATCACTCTCAATTGCTGTGCTGTTGCTTGGAGCCAAAAGATATTCAAATCAATAGGTCTGTGTCTTGATTTAACTGCTACCACTTCGCTATTTTTGAACAAATTATCTGAACTCTGCTTAGATTTCTATGGCTTTCTTTGCTCAAAATCTCTTCGACACCTAAAGACTGACTCTTTATATTTTCCAAAAGCCCACTGTTTGAGATTTTCCATCCTATCTAGTATTCAAATGGCTGCTGAATGCATGCGTATTATCTGTTGGGCAGGCTCTCTGTGGTCAATGACACAGGGGAGAGCTTCCTTATCGGAGTTAAACCTGAGCACCACGGACGTTCTGTGAAACAGTGGTTTCCTGCGTATGGTATTGTCAGTTCTTTCTTTCATTTTTCTTCATTACGATTTTGTTTCCTTTGTGCTTGCACCGTTCCTAAACAGCATTTGAAATGACAGCGTTACAATTGAAAGATTCTTTTTGGGTAAGTAAACGGGCTGAGCTACTTTGACATTAGATTGAACGTTGTTGTCTGTTAGGGCTGACATGCCTGAGGTTAACAGTATTGCATATGATGATTGACAGCGCAGATTATTAATGTCTAACTTCCAATTTTTTGTGCACTGCCATTCTCGTTCATTTGTATCAGGAATTACTGTATCTTTAAATAAGACAAATTCAGCTATATTCTGTAATTGTTTCCGTTTTTATTTTATGTGTTTTAGTTCGATGTTGGTTTAGTTTTGACGGACTGAGATAGAAGACATCAAAATGACTGAATGAAACATTGAGGGTATCTCAAACTAAGATTTTGATATTAGATTTTTTAGAATAGGATTTTTGTCACTGCCTTTAAAAAAATACTTCTCTTTGGGGGTTTAGTGTTTATGTTTAGACATCCTTATATTGTGTCATGGAGATGATCTATGGGCTTCCTGTTGAGCGTTTGACTGTGTGCCTGCTCTACCCTCTTTTTAGCTTTGATCTTGTGTTGTCAGAGCATCTATCTACAAAGCAACTTCTGGGATGATTTGACTGTCAAACCACGCTAGTGCGGTTAAGTGTTGTGCATGTAAAAAAATATATGCTGTAGTTATGTAAAAAATAGTACTACTGTTTTCTTTCTGCTGCAAATGTAAGAATGTTAAGATAAACGACGGATCCATTTTCTGTAGCATTCCATGTTAATATTATTAATATTCTATTAATATATTTTAATATTCCGTAGCGTTCCATGTAAATGGGCACAGTAAATAATTAAACTGTTTAACCACGTCAGACAGTCTGGTACCAAATATGTGACCCTGGACCACAAAACCAGTCATAAGGTTCAATTTCTCGAAATTGAGATTTATACATCATCTGAAAGCTGAATGCATAAGCTTTCCATTGATGTATGGTTTGTTAGGATAGGACAATATTTGGCCGAGATACAACTATTTGAAAATCTGGAATCTGAGGGTGTAAAAAAATCTAAATATTGAGAAAATCGCCTTTAAAGTTGTCCAAATGAAGTTCTTAGCAATGCATATTGCTAATCAAAAATTAGGTTTTGATATATTTACGGTAGGAAATTTACTAAATATCTTCATGGAACATGATCTTTACTTAATATCCTAATGATTTTTGGCATAAAAGAAAAATAGATCATTTTGACCTATACAATGTTTTTTTGGCTATTGCTAAAAATATACCCCAGCGACTTAAGACTGGTTTTGTGGTCCAGGGTCACATATTCTTTTTTTTTTTTGCATAGACTCCAACTTCTTCAAATAAGGCCTAATTTTGATGAATACAGTGCAACAAGTAGAAAGAAACTTCCCATGGATTCAGGATTAAAACTGAGATGCACAGCCTCACATAATAGAAATACTACAGAGAGATATATATCGAAACAGAATCTCTTTTGTTCTTTTTCAAACTAATCATGTTATAATAAACAATCCTGTTACGGTTTATGTTACTGGTGAAATATAATCTAATCCTCTTGGTTCCAGGGCCCAGAATTCACCAGTAACGCCGGGTACGAGACTCTTATCCAGAAGCTATGTGATGGGCGGCGGGCTTGCAAAGATGTGGAGGAGCTCTTAAAAATGAGGTAACAACTGAAAATTGCATATTTATGTTTATTTCTACAAGATACACTGTTCAGCATTGGTTAAAAGTATTGAGCTGTATTGGATAAGATGACAATGTAGTTTTCGACTCATAGAGCGATGGCAGAGGAAAGGTACGGCAAGGAATTGATTACTATTGCACGCAAGACAGGAGGGCAAAGTGAAATTGGGTGAGAAAATATTGTATGTATTATTTCATATATTTCTTTATGTATAAATTGGCTTGTGGTTTTAATACTTTGCATACAAATAAAGGTTTATTTGATTATCATAATTTGTCTAAAGCATAAGTCTATCAATTTTATTTGTATTATTATTATTGCTTTGGTCTTGTAGCACTTTGAAGGCATCATTTGACCAGCTAAAAGCCCGTAAGTAACACTTCAAATTATAATTTGTTTTTAAATCACAACGAACTTCATTTGCCAGGTGACACATGGAATTAAAAATCTATTAAAAAATAAACAGCACCAGCTACATCTGCTAACTAAACCCATACCTTCAAGATCACTGATCATCAATATGCTGTTTTCTCACCTAGAAATGGAGAACATTGGAAATTTGCACATTCAGCTCTCTGGGATGTTACGAGAAGAGGCGAAACGAATGGAGCAGTTCAGAGAGCGACAAAAGGAGCAGCGAAAAAAGGTGAAATGGCATGTGATGCTTTAATTCATCTAAATTTGCAGAACCGCAAACCACATGCTTACAGGTTATTCTATGTTTGAGACTGGGTGAACAAAAACTGAGTACTGTACTGTATGTGTTCAAACCAAGATGCTTCTTGATAGACTCTGAGAAAATAAGCTGGGGCAGTACTCTAAGGTACAACAGCTAAAAGCAGAGGCAGACAGTAGTGAAGTATTTTTACTTTACTCAAGTAAATTTAAAAAGTATCGGTAATTTATCAGAGTGTTTTTCTTTGGAAAACTTCACTTCACTACATTCCAAAGCGTAATGTCATACTTTTTACTGCACTTCATTTCATAAATAAAAGTTGTTGTTCGTTTTACCTTTAATACTTAAGAACATTAAAAATGTACTACTTTCTTGTACTCAAGTAAATCTTTGAATTACTTTTACTTGAGTAAAAGAAAGAAAGTAATAGATTTCTAATGTAATTAAGTATTAAATTATATTTAATATGAAACGTAGTGCAGTAAAAAGTACAATATTATGCTTTGGAATGTTGTGAAGTAAAGTTTTCTAAAGAAAAACACTCTGATAAAGTACAGACACCTGAAAAGTACTTTTACAGCAGAGTAAAAATACTTCACTACTGTACGCCTCTGGCTAAAAGGCATCGTGTGACGTGTGTGACGTGACATGTGGCCAAGTATGGTGACCCATACTCGGAATTAGTGCTCTGCATTTATCCCATCCAAAGTGCACACACACAGCAGTGAACACACACACACCGTGAACACACACCCGGAGCAGTGGGCAGCCATTTATGCTGCAGCACCCAGGGAGCAGTTGGGGGTTCGGTGCCTTGCTCAAGGGCACCTCAGTCGTGGTATTGAAGGTGGGAGAGAGCACTGTACATTCACTCCCCCCACCTACAATCCCTGCCGGTACAAGACTCGAACCCGCAACCTTTGGGTTACGAGTCCAACTCTCTAACCATTAGGCCACGACTTCCCCTATCGTTGGAACTTATTTACCCCTAAATGGTATATTAGTACATATTAGTACTTTAAACGTACATAATAGTTTGCATATTAGTACCTTTTAGCTTTTGTACTGTCCCTTTGACACCAGTGTACCATTGCTTTATTAAAAAAGGTGCACAAGACTTGAAAAATGTTTACTTTTTGCAGTTTGAAGGGGTCATGGAAAAGGTTCAGAAGATCAAAGTGTCATTATATAAGAAAACCATGGAGGTAAGTTTTTATTTACATATTAGTCGCAGTTTTTTAGGCTACTCAGTTCATCCTGTATTTGCCTAATAGAGACTGAAAGCAGAATATCAGGAAGAGGAAGGGTGAAATGAGAGTCATCAGTGCATACGCTAACCTCTGTGCAGCTAATGTGCAGACTAATGTTTTTTTTATTTTTATGTACACTGTAAATGTCATATATACTTGTTTACTATGTTTAATTCAATGTGTTATTTATTGTTCTTGGTTATTATTGTGAAATTTACTAGCAATTTCTGAGTGAAAATGTTTTCTACACAATATTTGTGTCACGTTACGCTGCTGCGGGAAGAACGTAGGAGACTCAGAGTAGCATAAGGTAAAAATAAGGCCAAATAAGGTAAAAACAGACCATTTCATTCTAGGGACAAATCCTAGGGTTGTAAATGGACATGTAAAACCGTTTCTGGAGATGTTTTGCCCTTACCTAAGCCACATACCTTCTATGTAGATATCAGAGAACAATTTAAAATATTGTATCAATGCATTCTATGGCACCTTTAAATTTTATTAAACATATTTAGTCATTTGTGGCTCATTTGGCCATCACTCATGTCTAGATGAGCACTGGCATAACCCTGTATCTTCCTGCTTTTCCCAGTCTAAAAGGATGTATGAACAGAGGTGTAAAGAGGCTGATGAAGCTGAACTGGCTACTGAAAAACTCAACAGTACACCCACTGTCACCCCTAAACAATCTGAAAAGGTAAAATGTGGACCATTATGAGTGGAATTTGTGTGGTTGTCTTCAAATATTACAACATACACTACCGTTCAAAGTCAGTTTGGGGTCAGTTTTATATATACACTACCGATCAAAAGTTTGGGATCAGTAAGACTTGTAATGTTTTTTAAAGACGTCTTTTATGCTCATCAAGACTGCATTTATTTTATCAAAAATACAGAAAACAGTAATCTTGCTAAATGTTATTACAATATAAAATAATGGTTTCTATTTTAATATCCTTTAAAATATAATTTATTTCTGTGATGCAAAGCTGAATTTCCATCAGCCATTACTCCAGTATAAAGTGTCACATGATCCTTGAGAAGTCATTCTAATATGCTGATTTATTATTAGAATTATCAATGTTGGCAACAGTTGTGCTGCCAAATATTTTTTGGGAAACTGCGATACTTTTTTCAGGATTCTTTGATGAATAAAAAGTTAAAAAGAACAGCATTTATTCAAAATATAAACTTTTCTGACAATATAAATCTTTGCTATCACTTCTTAACAATTTAACACTGACCCCAAACTTTTGAACTGTAGTGTATATTGTTAGAAAAGATTTTTATTTTAAATAATGCTCTTCTTTAACTTTTTATTCATCAAAGAATCCTGAAAAA